AATAAAAGCAATAAAGGCATTTACTTACTATGCTAGTCTAGTTAAGTAATTGTTAAGCATTTACCAGTACACCTCTGCACAGCTACCACCTTAACTGAGGTGCTCATCATCTCTTCATTATCTAGGTTAATTGCAGTGGACTCTTAGGTCCATCCCACCCACACTGCTGCCAAAATGATTTTCCTTAAGTACAAATCTAACCATTTCATTCTTCTACTCAATCAACTTCAATAGCTTCTTTTAGCCTCTGGAACTAAATGCAAACTCCTGTTTAACTTTTAAAATCCTTAACCTTGCCTCCAATCTATCTTTCCAGTCTCATTGTACATTAGTCCCTCTCTCACACTCGGATCCAGTCAAACTGCTATTCTTTTCCTTACACACAAAACTCTATAACCTCAGACTTTGCACCAGCTACCTCCAATGCCTGAAATACATTCCTGCTTCCCCTCTGCCACAGTGATTCCTCTCAATTCAAGATGCAGCTCAGACACCTTTCTAAGTGAAACCTATCCTGATCCCTGCAACCATTAATGGCCTGACCCTCAAACTCTATTCAACTGCCTTGTATTTTTGTGTTTTTCTCTTCACATTTTTCATACATATTATAGGATACATAATAACATATCTTCTATATAACCTATATAATGATAGTTATTCTATATAACAGAGCATGTTTCATATAAATGACATGAAGGAAAAATATATTAAAATATATTGTGTATGAAAATATTATTGATTATGTTTCATGTGATACATGTATATTAATACATTAAGAGAAAAACAAAAATATGAACTAATTAAATAGAGTTTGACGTACACATAGATAGGTTGATAGAAAAAGAAAGAAAAAGAAATTGTGGGAATAAACATAGGCAAAAAAAGAAACAAAATCTTCACTTTGGCAGAGAATATGATGATCAATTTAAAGAGCTCTAGAGATTCAATTAAACAATTGAAAAATCAAATAAACAATGACTTTAGCAGAAAAGCAATAGGATATTATACAAGCTCATATAAATCATCATCCCTTCTGTATTACCAACAAGCCTAGCAAGAAAGAAATATTGCATTCAAAATAACTATAGAATAAAGAAAATATTGGGGATTCTTCCTACTAAGAAAAACACAAGAATTATTTGCATATAACTTAAGAGAAATGAAGACATTTATATAGTTGAAGAGATATTAATTGTTTATGATTGGGTCAGGTGAAATTAATAAAAATGACAACATTACCTAAATTAATTTACTTATTCATGTTATACCAAACAAACTATGATAGAATTACTTTAAAGAATGAGAAAAATAATAGCATATGTCATTATTAATTAAATAATAACATAATAATGGAATATGAACAGACAGTTCTTAAGGGGAAAATGCAAGCTGTCAACAACTGCAAGAAAAAAAGGCTCAAAATCACTAAAAATTAAAGAATACAAAATAAAACAATTCTGAGGTTCTACCTCATGCCCAATGGATTGACCAAGATGACTAAAATAAAAAATGAAAAACATTAAAGAATCTATAGGACAGACATGAAGGTACCATTGCTTGAGTTGTGAGTTGGTCTAGCCATTCTAAAAAGAAATTTGGAATTATACTCAAAAAATAAATAAATAGCACATACTTATTGACCCAACAACATAATTACTGGACATGTACTCCAAAAGAGATCAAAGACAGAAGGAAAAGTCTCATATATATAAAAATTATTTAGCAACACTTTTCATTGTAGCAAAGAAGTGGAAACTAAGGATGGAGAAGTAGGAGAGAGAGAGGAATATCCATCAGTTGGGGAAGAAATTACTAAATTATACTATATGGATTAATGAAATATTATATTGTCAGATGACAAAAGGGACAGATTCAGAGAAACCTAGGAAGATTTTTATGAGCTGATACAGAATGAAGTACATCTTTGTATATACTTTGTATATGGAAATATTCATATAAAATAGCATAGTAGAAGGTTCAGATTAAAAATAGACAGGAAGTAATTTTGGAACTCTTGCTAAGGGCCCTGGCATTCATAGTTCCAGAGGACTAAAGACCTCTAGAGAGTTGGTCTATACTAGACTCTCTAGAGTTGGACTGCAGTCTCTGCTACAGGAGGGGAATTTTGAAACTCTAGCCTGGAGAGTTTCCATACCCTGTGCCATAGAAATTCTACCTTTAGTCTCTATCTCTCCCAGGGATATTAAGCAGAAAGGACTCATATGCAAAGAAATATGGATGACAGGGGTAGAGGGGAATATTGTTAATGGGTCTAGACTCCACCAGGTCATTTAAGTATTTTTAGGCAGATAGGACAGCAGTGACCAACCTAATCATTGGTGAATATTTCCCTTGATAAGATTCCAGAGCATCTAGTAAATTACCTCTTTGCCTTTCTCTGTCTTTCTATTTAAAAGTGTTTTAAAAGTTTACTGTTTTTTTAACAGTTTGTTTACTATTTTCAAGGATACCTTAAAGATAGCTATCTCTAGATAAGGATATGATTGCTCTTAATTGCCTATGTTTAGTTGAGTACAACAAGTACATATAGGGAAGTATCTGCAGACAAGCATCAGTGGTTAGTTTGAATATAGAATAATTAAATTAGGTTTCCCTGTCAATCAGAGAAGGATAGATCCAGTAATCAGCCAATCCTAGTAGTCAAAATTGAATTCTGATCTAGGGGCTCCAAGCAGTGACAATTTATAATAATAATCAAAATCCTTAAGCTCACTAAAATAGCAGAGGAAGGACCCATTTGGAACTGAAGGCCATTACTCTTAGATTAAAACTATGTACCTATTTCTTATTGTAGATAAATCCCTCTAAACATGGGTGCCTTGGGCAAAAATCTTAAGCCTCCAACTCAGAGAAAATTAGGGTAGATCAGAGAGTGACAAAAGCAAAAGACTGAGTTGATCCAGTGGGAGAACATAGGCATGGTCTGGGAAGATCTAACTCCACTCCTCTGTTTCTCTTGGGGGGGGGAATAAAAGAGGAATGAATACCCAGACTTATAATGCTTCTTCACAACAGCAACTGCTGTGTGTGTGTGTGTGTGTGTACTGATATTTTTCAGGTTCAAAATAAGAGAAGACAGAAGACCTTCAGGAAAACAGGCACATTGATAGACTATTGGTGGAGCTGTGAATTGGTCACACCATCCTGGAAAGGAATATGCTTTTTTTTAAATTTTTTTATTTATTTCATTTTAAATTTGTGGAATAAAACAAGCATTTCCATAACAGTATAATAAAAAAGATGATTGCACATGAAACTGTAACTCTATAATGTACAATTTGCTATTCCTTTTAAATATGTAGTAAAGTAACATAAATTTCTTCCCCCCCCTTTTTCTTCTCTCCAGCTCCCCACCCTAGAGATCACTACCATTATACACTAATATGTGTATATATATATATGTTAAAATTATTCTATACATACTTCTACTATCAGTTCTTTTTCTGCATGCAAGCAGTATTTATTGCATTATCATTTGAAAAGGATACTTTTAATATTTCTGCTTTTACTATAAAATTTTTATGTCCTAATATATGGTCAATCATTGTAAAGATACCATGAATTGCTGAGAAAAAGGTTTATCTCTTTCTCTTTTCATTCAAGTCACTTCAGATATCTATCATATCTGGTTTATCTAAAATTCTATTCACTTCCTTGACTTCTTTCTTCTTTATTTTTGGGTTAGATTATCAGTTCTGAGAGGGAAAAGTTAAAATCTCCCATTCTTATAATACTGCTATCTATTTCAGTGTGTAATTCATTTAACTTTTCTTTTAAAAACTTGGATGTTATAGCATTTGATGCATATAGGTTCAGTATTGATATTGCTTTATTATCTATAATATTTTTATCAAAATGTAGTTACCCTGTTTATCTCTTTTAATTGAATCTATTTTAGCCATAACTTTTTCTGAGATCATGATTGCTACCTCTGCCTTTTTTGCATCAGCTGAAGCATAATAAATGCTACTCCAACTTCCCATTTTAACACTGTGTGTATCTCTCATTCTTAAATGTGTTTCATGTAAACAACGTATTATTGGATTTTGACTTTTAATCTATTCTACTATTTGTTTCCATTTTATGGGTGAATTCATCCCATTCACATTCAAAGTTATAATTATTATTTGTAAATGTCCCTGTTACCTTATCTTCTCCTCTTACCCTTCTATTCTTTATTCTACTCACTCCTCTAAGAGTCTCTTTCTTATCCTCTCCCCCTACACTCTTTCCCCCCCACACACTCTTAAATCTTAATCTACACACCCTTCTAAAAGTTCCTCCCCAAACCTGTCTCCTAGTCTTCTCAGCTCTCTACAAGTCCAGAAGACTTCTCCATCCTGCCAGATGTAGTTTCCTCTTCAACCAAGATCTGAAGAGAGTAAGATTCCAACATTACCAGTCCTCTACCTCCATCTGCTTCTCCTTGTATCAGTTCTTGCTTTCATGTCACATTGTTGCTATAATTGTTCCTTTTTACCTTTTCCTGCCCAATTTTATTTTTAGAATCATCCCATCACACACAACTCAGATCCCACATTTATTTCAAACTACCCTAGTAATGTTGACACTTTTAAGAATACTAATAGCATTTTCATATATAAGATGTAAACAGTTTGACCTTAATAAGTCCCTTATAATTACTCTTTAATATTTTTCTTGTATTTCTTCTGGATCTTTTGTACCACATTTTCCATTGAGTTCTATTCTTTTTGTCACAAACACCTGAAAGTCTTTCAGTTAGTCAAATATATAATTTTTGGTTATAGTATCCAAATACATAGTATAATGTGAATAGCATATAGTATAGTATGGTATTTTTGGGTATAGTAAAATATACATTTTTTTCATTCAGAATTATACTCAACTTTTCTGGGTATGTAATTCTTGGTCACAATCCCAGCACTTTTGCTCTTTGAAATATAATATTCCAAAACCTATGGTCTTTTAATGTAGAAGCTGCTATATCTTGTGAAATCCTGATCATATCTCTACAATGTCTAAATTTTTTTTTCTTATTGCTCATAAAATGATCTCTTTAACCTGGGAGTTTTGAAATTTGACTATCACATTCTTGTAAGCTTTCCATCCAGGATCTCCTTTAGGTGGTGAACAGTATATTGGTTTCTATTTCTACTTTTTAATTAGAGTAGGAAGGTAAAAGATGCAGTAGTAATGGCAGTAATAGTGGTAGTAGTAATAGTAGTAGAAATAATAGAAGTAGTAGTTACTGTTGTTGTAATAATAATAATTTCTGGTAACATTTATATAGCACTTATAATGTGCCAGACACTGTACTAAATGCTTAACAATTATCAACTCCTTTGATCCTCTCACAATAACCTTGGGAGATAGATGTTATGATTATCCCCATTTTATAGATAAAAGAACTGAAGCAAACAGAGGTGAAGTGACTTTCCCAGGGTCATACAGTCAGTAAAAGTCTAAGGCTGGATTTTAACTCAGTTCTTCATAATTCCAGGTCTTACACCCTGTCCAAGGTGCCACCTCACTGTCAACACATTGTCAGCAGTTAAGTTGCCATCATAGTAGGATACATGTATGTGTTGAAGTATATAACATTAAACTTTTAAGGAGCAGAAAATGGCTTCTAACCCATTGGTGGTGGGTAGTTACACACAAGTATAGGATAGAGGCCCTACTAAAAAGAATCTTAAGATCTGGTGAGGAATACAAGACAGGATCAACAAACATGTCTGAAAGAACATACAACATAAGATGCCTATGTAATTCAGGCTTAAATTGAATAATACAGACTGTAAGAACTAAAGAGGTCACAGGGATATGGAATCTAAATTGTGATTTGAAGGGTGGGTAAGATTTCAGTCAGTGGATTTGAAGTGAAGAAAAAAGGAGAAATATTCCAGGAACAGGGAATTTCTGGGGAAGGTTGAGGAAAATTAAATGATGATTTTGGTAAAAGTCAAAGGGAGTATTAGATTATGCTGAAATCATACAGGGCTTTCATTACCAGGCAATGGAATGAATACATCTTATTCATAGAACATGAGGAGACTCTAGAGCAGCTGGAACCAGAGGTGGCCCTTCACATGTTTTAGGAAGGTAGAAAGCAGAGCTCATAGGAGGGGGGTACTTTCATAAATCCACTGGCAATTGGGGTGGTGTCGATATCTTTTGAGTCAATGGGAGATTTCAAGGTAAAATTTTGTAAGATGGTAGTAAAAAACAGAAATAATTCCATTCGAGCCAGACTCTCGCCAGCACATATCCGTTTTCCTGAAAGAGACAAATACAAAGATTTGATATTTGTAAACTTCTAAATCATCTAGGCCACTTCTTTGGACTTACAGGTAGCCCACTAACACTCAGTGGCATTAGGTAAAAAGACTGTATGCATTCCTTTCCTCTCTGGTCCTTGACTCCTTTGAAGAGCCAAGACATAGAGGAAAAACCCCTCCTGTATGCTCTTTCTCAATCAATTTCCCCTGAGCCAGAGCAAGTTCTGGGATTTATATTCAGAAACAATCACTCATTTATAGTCTCAAGGAATAAGTTTGTGGCTACCCACAGTGACTACAATGGGAAAAGGTGACAGAAGAATGGTCAAAGTTCTGTTTGGGAATCACCTATCACCATTCTGGACAGAAAACACCTCTGGAGTCTACCCCATCCAGCCATCCAGCTATTTGTCTTAACTACTCACTCTTAGCTATAACTCAAATATTAGAACCAATTGAGCACTGCATTGCATTGGAGACCACAATGTCAAAGATAGTTAGCTGCCTGCCAACATTCTTGTCTGCCAGTGCCAGAATGGGCTATCACCAACCTAATAACCAATAGTTCCCCCAAGATATGAAGGTGAAAGGACAAACCATCAGTTATAATGCTGTACCAATAGATCCTCATTAAAATGCATATAACTAGGGAAGGGGGTTCCATACTCATGTGTCCTAGTCAGGAGTCACATTTCTATAAAACCATAAACTCTAAGATTAGACCTTCAGTGACTTTAGCCATAATGGTACTTGAGTAATGAACCTTAAGATAACCCAATCCCCTTCCTTGGCTTGATAAATTACTAGATTATACCATGCTAACATAAAAGCCTAGAAGACCTTATCTGAGAAGTAGCTCCAGGTTGAAGGTGCCTGGGAAGATAGTTTTAAATATGTGGGGTGTAGGGGGCTTTAGTTGTGGGTCTGGATGCAGAACAGAGTGACTTCTATCTCAGTTCTGCCTCTTTTTTGGAATAAGCTCGGACAACTACCCTGAAACCCAACTGATTTAGTTGATGGACCTTGGCCTAAGGAGAATTAGAATGATGTACTATGTCTCCACCCTACTCCCTGGATTTAGAAATTGGAAGGACCACAATGGTCACCTGGACCAACCCAATCTTTTGGCATATAAGGTAACTGATGCTCAGAGAAATGGAATAATTTGACCAAGGTCACACAGATAATGAGGTCCTCTGAATTATCAATCAATCTTTGATGCACTCATTTAGATGAATGTCTTACCTGCTGAAAAAGGCATGAAATAGTCACTCTTCTTAAAGTTGCCACTTTCATCCAGGAAGTGACCTGGGTCAAACTGGTCTGGATTGAGGAACTCTTCATCATCATACAGAACAGAAGATAGTACTGGTATGACGGTGGTTCCCTGAAATAAGCAGATACAAATAAATAATTAGAAAATAAGAACCATAGAATGTTAGAGCTGAAAGAGAACTTAGAACTATTACCTAGTCCAAACCCCTGATTTTTAGGTATGGAAAGAGTCAATCTTTTTAAACACCTTTGCTGATAGTAAGTTAGAAAATCTACAACACTATTGTGAAAGATGAAACTGAATTTTGACCCTTGAGGAGCAGAACCAGTACTGATGAGCAAAATACACAAGGAGGCAGATTTCAGACTGAAAAAAGTTGGTAAAATAACTTTTGATCATTAGATCTAACAACAGAGGAAAGAGCTGCCTGGATGGACAATAAGTACACCAGTCGTGGATAAGATCCAGCAGATTCCAGATGATCTGAAGAGGCAGAAATTAATTGTGACCTGATGAATACTATAATGTCAGACAGAATAATAAGGCAAGAGCTGATAAACAAATTGGGAGCTCTTCTTGAAGATGAAAAAACAAGATGTTCTGAGGAAAAAGCACTTGTTTGTAGTCTAAAGAATGGTGAAGTAAGTTCACAGGTGTTATCTGGCAAGATATCCAGGAAGAAGAAAAGAATAATGGTTGGTGACTCCCTGTAGAAGGATACTGAAACAGTTGTTTGCTGACAAAGACTAAAATGGATAGCTCTGGGGAAGCTAGGTGGCACAGTGGAAAGAGCACTGGCCCTGGAGTCAGGAGGACTCAGCCTCAAACACATAACACTTATTAGCTGTGTGACCCTGGGCAAGTCACTTAACCCCATTGGTTCACAAAAAAAAATAGATAGTTCTGCCATATTCTAAGAGCATATGTCAAAGAGATAGTGGAGAACCTTACAAAACTTGAAAAAGGGGACAACTACTACCCACATCTGGTGATTCACATGAGCAAAAATAACACTACCATAAGGAATCTGGGAAGCATCTCTAAAGGTTTTGACATTAAGGAAAAAAAACTAAACACTTCAGGAACTCAGGTGGTATATTCATTATGCTTGTTACTCAAAACAAAAGATTCAGAAGGGACAGGCAGATTTCAGAAATGGACATCTTATAAAAGGATATTTAAAAATGGGATTTGGATTTCTGGACCACATGTTAATTAAAATATAGGCATGAGGAACTCCTGATCAGGAATCGGAAGGATGCATCTAGCAAAGGATGGAAAGATGATTATTTTGATTTCTTACAAATATAGTCAAAAGACTTTTTTTAATGCTTAAAGTGTTATTAAAAAAAGAAGATGGATTGGAGATTTTAAGACAAGGAAGCAAATTTGACTTCAAAGGTATAAATAGGGCTTGGTATGATGAGATGCTTAACAAAACTGAAGCCCTGGAAAGACTATAACTTATTCAAAAGAAATAGGATAGGAAAAAGAGAGTGGGGTAGTATATATTAAGAAGATACACTCATGTGAGGCTATTTATGAAGCAGAGGAAAGAAGAATGATGAGAAGCATCTAAGTAAAGAGAAATGGAGGCAACATCAAGACTGACTGCCATGAGAATATGCTACAGACCATTTGGACAGAAAGAAGAAATAGACAAGGAATACAGAAAACAAATTATAAGCTCTGGAGGTTAGACATGATATAGCAATGATAGAAGACTTCAATTATCTATTCGGATTCTTGAGTTTCCCTTCTGTCAAAACCAGAGCAGTTCATAATTCTATGACTTTTCTTAATGATAATTTCACCCTGCAATTATAGTGATCCAGCTCTCACCATCTGAGAGGAACTTGAATAACAAAGATGTGAATAGAGATCTGCAGACCCCCTGTGGCACAACATTCTTCCTCTGAAGGGATCATGCTGTGTTGCAGGATATGCAATCACACTTGACACACTTTCTGTGCACATTTATGGATGGTAATAAGTGGAATGTTTGGGATAGTGACCTGTCCATCTTAGAGTTTATACAGGATCAACTAAGTGGCCCAATGGGGAGAGTACAGTGCTTGGAGTCAGAAGGAACTGATGGGGCCTCAAACACTCACTAGCTGTGTGACCCTGGCCAAATCACTTACCCTCTCCCAGACTCAGTTTTCTTATTTGTAAAATGAGAATGATAATGGCACCTACATTTCAGCATTGTTATCAGGATGAAAAGGGATAATATTTGTAAATTGTTTCATACACCTTAATGCTAGCTATTATTATTATCACCAAGAAATACAAGAGTTAAGTTTCTCAAGACACAAAGAAAAAGAATTCTGGTGATGGAAGAAAAAGGAACATTCCCTAAAGATACCAATGTGGATAAGGTAGCCAGGTGGTGCAGTGAGAAGACTGCTAGACCTAAAGTCAGGAAAACCTTTGTACAAATCCTGACTCACACATTCATTTACTGCATGACTCTAGATGAACCAGGTGGTTTCTCTAAGACTTAGTTTCCTCACTTATAAAATGGAGATAATAATAGCATTTATTTCCACAGAATTGTTTTAAAGAGTAAATAAGCTCATCTATGTACAGCAAACTCCAAAGTACTTTATAAATAGTTATTATTATTATAGGGAATTCACCAATCAACTTAGATTCTTCAAGGACAAGGATGAGTAAAAGAAGTATGTCACAGTTCCATAAAAGTGACAGAAGTGATAAAGCCCAAAATGCACAGAGGCTGGTGAGGCTAACAAAGGGCAATAAGAAGAGATTTTTTAAAACTATGTTGTGAAAAAGAGGAGGATTAAACAAAGGACAAACCCACAACCCAGAGGCTTAAAGGACAAGGATGACAAGTGACAAGAAAAGACACAGAACTTCTCAAGTTTTCTTTTGCTTCTGGTTTTTTTTCTGACCAAGGGAATGATCTTTGAACTGAAAAGGATAGAATAAGTGAATAGATACAGCTAACAGGGATTGAATACCCCAGGGAAGTTAGGAGAAAATTAGGGAGCACCTAGACACCTGAGCAAGAAAAATAAAGTGAAAAAAGTGCACTTCAATCTGCACTCAGAGTCTAGAACATATTTCTAAAGAGATCATTAATCTAGTTAAGAAAGGATGAGGAAATGGCTCAAGATAAGGAGGTAGTGGTCACAAGGATCTGGAGTGGAATCATTATTTCCTTTTTTGAGTATATTAATAAACTGGTAGATCAGGCGAATGCTGTACATAGGGTTTCCTTCAATTTTAACAAAGCATTTGTTAAAGATTTTCATGCTCTTCCTCTGAAAATGATGGAAATATACAGACTAGACTATCACACAATTAGGTGGATTGAAAACTGATGGCTAACCCTATACGAAGGGTAATTATTGAAGGTTCAAAGACAGCTTGGAAGTAGGCACTGCTGTACTGTGGTCTCCTCAGCTCACAGATGAGGATTGTATTCCTTCCATGAGTCATATCTTAGGAGGACACTGAAGAGCTAGAGGCTACTCAAGGGAAGGCAACCAGGATGGTAAGAATAACAAGTCCATGCCATGTGAGGATGGGTTGAAGGAAAGAGGGATATTTAGACAAGAGAGCAGAAGACAAAATAGAACAGGAGACATAATAGCTGATTGCAAGTGTTTTATGGACTTTTCCTAGAAAGAGAGAGTAACTTTGTTCTGTTTTGTTCTAGGAGACAAAACCAAGAGCAATAGATTAAAGTTACAAAATTGCAAACTTAGGCTTAATACAAGACAAAACAAATCCTCTCAAATTAGGGCTGTCCAAGATTACAATAGAATTTCACAGCAAAAAAAAAAGTGGTTCCACCTCATTGAAAGTCTTTAAGCAAAGATTGGATGACCGTGAGGTGAGCATACTGTAAGTGGAATTCTTTTTCAGATTGGGAATGGACAATATGACCACGAAATCCCTTCAAATTCTGAAATTCTGTGACCACTTCGCAGGGATGTGGGTTGGCCTGAGGTTCTTTCTAACTCCAAGATTCTAGATTTCAATGACAGTATAAAATCTTGTGTTAGAGTGAAAACATTTCTGACCTTGGGGATAAGATATTGTCTAAATTGAACATCTTCTGACACTGCATGGGGCAGGCTGTTGGGAAGGAGGTCAATGTAACGCTGTATCTCGTGTATCACAGCATTGGTGTAAGGCATCTTGTTTCTGTCCTCCATACAGGGACTTCGATCTCGGCCAATCACACGATCAATTTCTTCATGAAGTTTTCCTGTCACAATACAAATGAAAATTGATCTTAAAAGTAGAGATAAAAACTGCCTTTGCTCATATTTTCTCTGATTTTTCGCCAAGAGCTACATTGGTAAATAATACGCTTGACTCTCATATTTCAATAGATAGAGAGATGAAAATTCCATTTTAGTCTCTTAAGCTAGCTGAGCATCCCTTAAGACACCTATGTCCCATGCCCGTAAGAAAAGGTCGTGTCCTTAAAAAACTAAAGGCCAAGTAGCATTTGATTAAGGAAATGAGGAGGTGTCTCAGTCTGGACCTGTTCTACAACTTCATGTGACCAACCATATGCCCAAGGTACTTCCCTGCATGGCTGCATGAGGGTCAGGAATCCAGAGGCACCAGCTCCCCCTGTGGTCAGGCAGGATCAATAAGCTATCAGGAACTGGTGCTTCTCAATCATTTAGTTCCTCCCAGTTCTATCACTGGGCTCTAGTCTCCATTCATATCACTATATGGCTACCTCTAATAATAACTCACAATTACATACCACTTAACTAAGCAAGGTGGAAGTAGTGGAGAAAGAGAAATAAGTAAACTTGAACATGTAATGACTTAAATACATTAAAATGACAATAAAAAAGTTTCCAAGGAAAGTCTCAAAAGGACCGTGAACCCCCCTCTCATGAGGATTAAATTGTATGTATTATTATCCTTTATCCCACCTGCTATCTCAGGGTATTTCAGGAGAATCAGGAGTCCATATCTCAGGGTGGTGCTTGTTGTCTCTGTTCCTGCACCAAATAGATCAGTTATAGTACGGACCAAATTATCGATGGTAAATTCAGACTGTGGTTGTTGCTTTTCCTAGGAATAATTTGGTATCATTAATTGAAAAGTAAGGGAGGCAGCAGGTACAAGGGAAAGCATAATGGTTTTGGAAGTAGAGGGCCTTGGCTTAAATCTCAGTTCTGATATATTTTTTTTTAATTTTGGTGGGGAGACAGTCAAGGTTAAGTGAGTTGGCCAGGGTCACACAGCTAGTTAAGTGTCTGAGGCCAGATTTCAACTCAGATCCTCTTACCTTCAGGGCCAGAGCTCTATCCCCTGTGACCCTTAGCTGCCCCCAACACACCACCAGCTCTGATCTTGACCTTGGGCAAGTCATTTAACCTTTTTATGTTTCAGTTTCCTCATCTGTAAAATGAGGGGGTTAGAGTCAAATACCTCCAAGATCCATTTCAGTTCTAAATCTATGACCCTATAAATAAATTAAATTTCAGCAACACAATCCAAAGTGGAACAAGAAGCTGGCAATTATCAAGGCAGTTGGGCCCTTGCAGATATTACATATGGTAGAGAGACAAAGAGAAGAAAGACACGGGACGGGGAGTGTGGGGAGATACACAGACAGACAGACAGACACAGACTACACCTGCAATTTCATTGACACAGGGAATTTCCAGGCAAAAAAAATTCTGTCTGCCAATGCAAGTCTGCACTTTCTCTGAAAAACTTCCTAGCCCTAGGGCACTCTAGGGTTAAGTGACTTGCCCAAGATCACATAGACATTTTGTGTCAGAGAGGGGACTTGAACTTTGCCCTCTCTCACATTCCCTCATCCACCAATGGGGCAGGAATCAGTGGGAGAATATACCCTTATGTGCACAGGTTGATGAAGGAAGGATTTTTCTGGTCAGTTATGCTGACACATTGCTAAATTAAACTTTTGAATTAATGTGTTTTCTGGTTTGTCTGGTAAGAAAAACATAAGTAGTGACCTCAGAGTACACTTCGTTGCTATAAGTGGGTCATTGATTCTTCAGCATTGCATTAGCATATCTTTTACCTTCTCCATGTTTCTCTGGTACTTTCAGGGCTTCATTTACTCCATATGAATTACATTAGGATATTGATTTGCTCTAGTTTTGCTTCTGATTTGGTGGATTTTTTTCTTTATGCAACTTTTTAACTATTTTTCTCTCTTTTTGTTTTGCTCTTTGTTGTTTGTGGAATGGTTGGAAAGTGAGGAGCCTCTAACTCCACCACCTTGACTGTAAAACCCACCATGCTCCCCCCAAGTACTTACCACAGCAGCCCTTCCATTCCAATCAGGCTGCTCAGATTAAAGTTCCCTATTCCCCACTGTCTTTGCAGAGTCCTGAAATGTTCTGCCCAGTCCTCACTGCCGAGCTCTAGGACCTCCTTCAAGACCCAGATCAAAACCTAGCTCTTCCAGAAGGAAGTCTTATGTTAACCCTCCCCAAATATTATATTTCTTGCTAATTCCAAATTCCTTGATCACTTAAATCCTCAATTTATAATCTATTTGGCTTTCCTTACACATTCCTGATAATTATTCTTGTGCTTACATGGGTTTCCTTCTGTCTGTTGGGTTAGAAATTTCATTAGGACTTGGACCTTGTCTTCTCATTCTTCTTTCTGCCTCATATAGTGCTCTGGGCATATTATGATTAAAATTTGATTATTTACTGCTCTATGTTTGTGATTGTGAGTGCCAGCCTCTAATACACAAGCCATTTCACCTACAAGCTGAGATTCAGACCTACTGCTCACACCCTACCTGCTCCATTTTCATCAGGAAACAGTCGATGAAGTCCTGAGGATTGCTGGGATCCAGTGTTCTTTGGTGTTCCTTCACTTCTTCCAAAATAAATTCATGTAGTAAACGAATATTTTTAATTGCCTTGCGATGAGATCCAGGGAGATAGTGCACTAGAGATGGATAAGAATTGTAGACCTAAAAAGAAGAATTTTATACCATACTTTATTAGAAAAAGAAAATAATTCTCTACTCTAGAATTTGGATCATGTTGAGAAGAGGGCTGAATAAGGGTGGGACAAATGCCCTTTGCAAAATAGTGACTTTTCTCATCATTTCCTATACAAACCCCCTAAAAATTAGTGTTCTCCTCCTTGGTTGCCTGAGACTATGTTGGCCTTCACCCTCAATTCTTACTTCCTTCAGAAAAGTTCTCATCCTTTCTCATTATGAGGTCTTCTAAGAGCTCTGCCTACCACCTTCCATTGGGACAACTAACTCATCTGCTAACCCGATCCAAGCTCAGGTGCACAAGGGAAAAATAAATTTGTCTCTAGTAACATGCATTTTAACACTCAGTCCCTGTGACCAGTGGGTGAAGTACTTCTGGAGGGGCTTTATAATGTCATTCAAATCAGAACACATAGGGGTGACCTTTTCAGTCTCTAGTCCCTATCAATGAAGAAGAAAATGGGAACCCATTCCAGCATGGCACTATTGTACGTCCCGGTGGAATGAATGATGAACTCTAGCCTAGCTCCTTGTAGTAGTTTCTTTGAAGTAATTAAAAAATATTTTGAGCTCCAAACAGAGAGAACACTGGTCTCACCTTTATCCATGGAGAACTTAGGATCTTGATGTTTTCATCTAAAAGCTTTATTAAATATAGAAATTTCTGGTCTTTATATTCAAAACATTTCTGGAAAATGATAGAGCAGATTACATTGCAAGGAGCACACCCAAGGATGAACATAGGGTCACATGGTAATCCTAAAAGAGAAAGAGAGAAAGAAAGATTTTAATACTGCCATTGTGATCAAAAGGAAGATTTGTCTGCCTTTAGGTAGGACCTGACTGTCCTCCTTTCCCCTCTAGTTTACATTCTAGCTGACATTTATTTGGCGCAGCAAGGTTGAAAATAAACCACCCTTTATGAAGCATCTGATTTCATCCATATGAGAATCCTAAGTGCAAATAGGATAATTCCCATTTTATAGATGAGATTGATGAGGCTCTAGAAAATCAGCTGATTTTTGTTCCACAAATAGGAAGGATCAAAAAGTTAAATTCAACCCAAATTCTCTCCTGGTACCCAGATACAGTTCTTTTCCTACCATACAGCATCACTTCCCATTTCTTAATTCTTATTCATCACCTCACTCTAACCAACTTTTACTTTCAGACTTCTTCATGTCTATTTTTAAATTATATTTCATTTTATTTCAATCACTTATCCCAGGATGAGGGATGCAGGCACTGGTCTGGAAGCTTGGCTATTCCAAATGCTCTTAGGTTCAGGGTTCTAGGTTGTCAAAGGATTGATATTGTCAAGGTGGTGAGTCTAGGTTTCCTTGACTGGTCTCTCGTCTCTCCCTCAAGGTGCCTCACTGATTTGGCCAGGCTGGCCCATCTGCCTTATGAATAGCAATTGGCTGGCAACTGGTGTCAATGGCCAGTCCCTTTTCCACAGGAGTTGCTTCCGCAGATGAGAGCTATGAGGACTGGACTAGAATCAGTGGTCTAGAGATTGCTGCCACCCCTGTGGCCCTCATACTTATCTACCTATTGGTGGCAGCTGGTCATCAGTTGTTGCTAGTGGTAATGAGAAAGATGGGCCCCTTCTCAACAAGGTAGCTACTGTGGACATTGGTATTGCTGTTTCCCAGGCTCTTGGGTTTGGAGGTCCTGGGCTGCCTCCATCAGGGTCAGAGGGAAGATTGTGGTTGAGGTGGTGGCTATATTAAAGAGGCCCAAGGACAGACTATTGGAGATATTCACACTCAGGGGACTGAAGCTGGATAGTGATCCAGCAAAAGAATATTGAGAAGCAAAAATCAGGCACAAAGAAGAACCAGTGGGGAACAGCATGATAGAGGTGAGGGAGAAGAGAGTATCAATCAATCAATCCGCCAGCAGTCACTAAGCTCTGACTAGGCTCTGTGCTAAGCACCAATGGTACACAGACAAAAGTGAAACAGCCCCTGCCCTCAGAGAGCTTACATTATAATGGGGGAGACAATATCTACACAAAAGAGTGGCAAAAGTCCCAGATTCCACAGTAGTGGGGAAATACTGTGCTCAGTTTATTCCTATATTGTTCCTGGTGAAATTTTCTGGAGTAGGAAAGCACACATAGCTAATTACAAGCAATGACTGATAGCATCCTACTACAGCCCAATTTCTACCACCCAACACACACACACACACACACACACTACACATAGGTTTTGCCTTTTGTGGTTTAAAAAGTAGTTATTCCATAGAATTTATGACATCAGCATCCTCCAGTGTCCTGTGACCCCCTAAGTTTCAGATTTCGGAGAAGGATAACCCCTCTGCTAGATAGCTTAGATGGGGAGAAGGAGGGGGAAGCATGAAGGGAAAACAGCTTCCAAGAGATGCTGCTGAGTCAGCTCATTGACTTCCTAGAAATGTTCTGAGCCCTGCTTGCATTCCTTCAGTTAGTCAGAAAATCCCTGGACTCCCCAAAATGATGCTAAAGCAATGCCTTTTCCTCCTGGAATTGTTGACTAAAGGTAACAGAACTGGTGCTGCTAGGTTCTTGTGAGCTCTGCTCCACCTGAAAAGGAATAAAAACATGTAAGGTATTCCCCTAAATGTTCCTCGCCATGTTGCCTCCTCACAACATTAGCATGAACTCATTAGCAGAGCTGCACTGCCTCTCATCTCTTCTCTCAGCTGTCTTGACCCTTCAGAGCTTTTAGGAATGACCACACGGCTCTGGGCATATCCCCAGGATGGGCTGAAAAGTGCAAACATGGTGGTTTCAGACTACAGTAGATTCCTTGGACCAATCTCAGTCTTCATGAGTTATAAGGGATAGGACGGATTTGTGTAAGGTCAGTGGTAACAAAGTAAAAAAACACCAACCTTTTGTTTTTTTTAACTCCCCCACAAGATACTTTGCCACTTCTTGGACTCGCTCTTCAATGCTCCTCTTCCCCATCCCGAAATTCCTCAGGGTCATGAGGGAGAAGCGGCGCAATTGCTTCCATCTCTCACCATTACTTATGATAACGCCTAGAAAGGGGAGCAGGAAGAAGAAAAGTCTTAGACTCTAAAGTTCCTGAAAGTCCATGGCAAAAAGTCCTTGGGCCCTTGACCCCACACCCCTTGTTCTAAAAGAACAGAATGTTATGGGGTGTCATTTTGCTTTCTCCTCTATCTATACTGTTTCCTGTCCCATCCCACACATCATTTTCCTTCATCACAGTCACAGATACATCAGATGGCCCTATACCCACATTCCCCTACTGGTAATGAAGTGGCCACAAAGAGGGAGGCCAGGATAGACATATTTTTAAGAAACTGAATGGTTATAGGGCAAGTTAGTCTATATCTCTGCATCTTTTTACCAAAGGAACCTAAAAGATTATGATGTCCTGAAGTCCTAGTCTTCCCACTTCACACAGGTACCAAAGGGTGAGAGTCTCTGTGTGTTGTCTTTTTGGGGGTTACTAGGTGGTACAGTGGAAAGAGTATCAGACCTAGAGTCAGGAAAACTCATCTTCATGAGTTCAAATCCAGCCTCAGACACTTACTATTTATATGGTACTGGGAAAATCACTTAACCCTGTTTGTCTCAATTCTTCATCTGTAAAATGGCCTGGAGAAGAAAATAGAAAACCACTCCAGTATCTTTGCCAAGAAAACCCCACACTGGGTCACGGAGAGTTGGACACGACTGAAATGACGGAACAGTAAGAGGTACACTTAGTAAGAACAGAAAGTTATATAAGCTCAGTAGCAATTCCAAATCATGTGGCTTTGCTTAGCTTTTCTTTTCCTGTAAGTCTGAAACAATCCTATACAGGATTGTTGTTTATGGGGAAATGATTGCTGAGTCAAAAAAATATATAGCAATTATACAAAGAATTGTAGTTAATTTGAGCAATGGAAAAGGTGTACACACGCCTTTATGGTACACACATTGAAACACACATACTAAAGCTTAACATGGCATATCCTTCTTTCTCTGAATATATCACACTTTCCTACCTTCAGATATCATCCTCTGATTCCAGACGTAGGATGAAGACTTCACCTAACTACCCTTACATTGAGAACTACACTTTGCCTGTAATCTTATTTTCATAGGACCTTTATCAAGATCAAATTCATCACCCTCTGCTTCAGGATCCTTCATAAGGGAACATTTGGCCTGCAGTCAAAAGATCTGAGCTCAAATCTAGCCTTAGATACTTACTAGCTAAACTAATTACTAAACATCTTTTTGCCTCAGTTTCATCATCTGTAAAATGAAGAGTAATAATAGCACCCCCCTACTCGAGTGGTTGCAAAGATCAAATGAGATAATGTTTATAGAGCACTTTAACACAATGCCTAGCACATAGTAGGTACTATATTTGTTAGCTCTTGTCATAGTTGTTGTTGTTGTTAATTCATTCATTCATTTCCCACCTTGATTTACTCATATGTCCCTACTCCAAGTGTTCTACACTTGCTGTAGCAGAGAATGTGTTTGCCTTCTAGTCAGGTTATCAGGAGTCAATAATGAGAAAGATTATCAGAGACTTTTGCCAGGCAGAAGCTGATAGAATGCCACAAGAGAGGGATTTTTGTCCTAATTTTAGCTCTAGTAGGCTAAGCAAGCTGACCTATTTCAGAAGTTGCCAGATTATTATAACTTTTAAGACTATTTCAAAAAGTGTAGATACTTTTCCTTCATGTGGATTCTGATCCACATTGGCTATACAACACCTTGCTTGATCTTCAGAGGCTCAATATTTTGGATGATCATTATCCTTGCAGAATGAAGTAATTTCGATTTGCCTGTTACCTGTGGCAGGTAGCAAATCCCTGACCACCAGCTTCATTTTACCAATTTTGTGCAAAATTTCCTAACATTGTACAGCTATTGGCTGCCACTCACCCTCTTCTGCTATGCCCAACAAGAGATACATGGCAAGACAAAAGTCTCAATATCCTATACAGTGTGGGTTCTTGTCTCAGTTATTCACTTTCTTGGCACTCTTAAGAGAGCTTGATTAGTGAACATTTAGAAAGGGTGGTCACTAAGAGTCAGCATGGGTTCATCAAGACTAGGTCTTGCTAGCCTAATCTGATTTCTTTTTTTTAACAGTATTATGAGACTACTAGATCTAGACAATGCCTTGACAGACTAGACTCAGATTTCAGAAATGCTCTGACAATGTCTCATGATATGTTCATAGAGAAGATGGAAAAGACCCTGGTCAGACTGCCAGAAGACATGTTCTTAGAAATCCCAGGTGACATCAAGTTGTGGTCATCGTCCAGGAGGACACTAATGTAGGTGCTAGGCAGCTGAGCACTAGATCTCTGAAGAGCAAGGAGAAAATTCCAACGAACTGGAAAGTGAACTAGAGTAATGGATCTTGGAAGGTAAAAGTCATAGCTGAGGGCTGAATGATTATAGCAAATTGTAAAGGCTAGAAAGATGGGAGAAGGAGATCTCTCTTCTCCCTCCAGGACTCTTTCACCCCACAATCATTCTCTTTCTTTCTTTGATTCCTTCCTTCCTTTCTTTCTCTCTCTTTCTTTTTTCTTTTTATTCTCTGTCTTATTTCTTCTCTCTCTCTCTTTTTTTCCTTTCTCTTCTTGCTCTGCAACAAACAGAAACTTACCAAATCCATCCCTAGTGACTTCCATAATTGGAATACGTCCTCTGTCAGCAAACTTGTCCCCATGATCAATCAGGGCTTCTTTCACTGCCTTGTACCCATGTAACATGACAACACGCTCACCACCAAATTGCAGAGTGAACACTGGGCCATATTGTTTTCCTAGCTGTGAAAAGAGATGTGGGCAGTATTTAGAGGGTCATCACTGAATCAGGCGATAAACTACTGGCATTACTATTGTTGACCTTATTGGAAAAGTTCTCAATCCACTATCAGTTCTATCAAAATATTTCTGACATTTATTACAGAGAGGATGATACAACCCATGAACCCAAACCAAGCCACAGATGGCTCAAAGGCTAAAAGTTCATTCTGTGCCTTGGGCTTGAAGACAGAAGACTGGTTAATGAGGCACAGTGTATGACCTCAGTGCAATATCCCCAAACTTCTGGAGAGGTTCAGCTTATATTTCATAGCTAGGTGTGATAGTGGATATAGCACTGGACCTGGAATCAAGAAGACTTTACTCAAAATCCAGTTTCAGGTACCTAATAGCTATGTGACCCCAGGCAAGTCACTTAACCTCTGTCTGCCTCAGTTTCCTCATCTGTAAAATTAGGATAATAATGACACCTAATTCTAAGGGTTCTTTTGAGAATAATACAATAATATTTATAAAACATTTGGCAAACCACTATATAAATGCTATTAATATTATTATTATTATTAATCTAAAGCTTTGAGAATAGCAGATTTGGAAATGGGTAAAATGCTGTCAGTGAAATCCTGGAGCAGAAAAGGGTACACATTCCAACAGAAATCCTATAAGCCAATATCACTGGATCATAGGTATACATCTAGAATAGACTTTAGAGATCATTTAAACACTTTTTTTGTCATGAACTCTTTTAATAGTCTGGTGAAACCTATGTACTCCTCTGAATGATATTCTTAGATTGAAATACATAGGATTATAAAGGAAACCACTTATATTAGAATAAGATAAAGATGTAATTTTTCCCACCCTAACTCACAGAACTTCTGAAATATATCTACAGACCCAATGGGAGTTCATGATCCCAAGATTAAGAACTCCTCTTCTAAATCAATCATAATTTCACAGATGAGGACACTGAGGCCCCAAAGATCAGGGTATATCTGGGAAGGATTTGGTTAAAAAAATTATTCATTTATCAGGCTACCGGGTAAAAATGAGAGCACAATTTTGTTTTCACATATTAATCTCAATCATTTCTCACAATCCTGTGAGGCAGATAGGACATTTATTCATAATGTCCTCATACAGACATAGGAAACTGAGATCCAGAGAGGTCATCATGACTTGCCCAAGGCACAAAGCTAGTAATTGTCAGAATCTGGACTTGAATTTGAAATTCAATGCCTTTTCTACTACCCCAAGTTAACTTTCAAAGGCTTTAAGATCTACAGATCTGAGTTCAGAACTTGCTGGTTCCTCTTGAGACCAGGGTTACTTTCAATCAGGCACACTTAAGATTATATGCAAGGACTGGGGCAGCACACAGAGGCTGCTTAAGGGCTCCTTTGAAGGAATGTGCAAGGAAAACATTCTCCACTCTGATCCAACAAATGCTGGAGGTCCTCACCTGTTTGTAGGACCTATTCATTCCTCAGACAACAGAAATAATCAGGCACATTAAATACCACCTTTCTTCCCATGGTGGGCAATGAGCATTTTAGGTGAAACTGATGGCATTTTCTCCTAGAACTTTGCAGTGCCAATGTGAGCAGTGATAGCAGAGGATGGCAGTTGTTGCAGAATGGATTTCATCAATTCTTACAGGAACTTGATAGTACACAGCTAATGATGAAGCAGTGGGCCCTGATGGCCACTACAGTGAATCAAAACATAGTCTAGAAAACCTACAAGGTACCTACCTCCCTACTCTTACATGCTCTACTTATTAGAATAAGCTGCTTGAAGACAGCCTCCCAAAACAAACTGACTGCTACTAGAGTCAGGAATGAAACCAACAGAAGACAGAGATGCTTACTTACCTTGCAAAGTGATTCTGGGATATTCTTAAGGCCCACCTGTAGCATATTGCCAATAATGGGAAGAGGAACAGGACCCGGTGGAAGCTTTCCTTTTCCAAAGCCCTTTTTCCATGATGAAATGAGAAGTAGACATGACATACAGAGCAGTAAGCCAAGAGCAATGACCACAGATGGATCCATTGACACTGTTCCTTACTTCTAATGCAATAGAAGGCTTAGAATCCAAAGCTGGGAAGGACAGCAAACACGAGATCAATCAACTAATAATTCCTTGGCATCCTGATTAAGCTTCCAGTGGACTTTGACCTGCCAATAAGCTTAACAGAACCCTACTCTTGTTCTATAGGAGTGTATTTTAACATAACAGTAGCCATTAAATTTGTTATTTGGAGTTTTACTGGTTCACTTTGCTCCTTATATGCCCCAGTTATTTCCCAATACGGCCCTGCCTCCCCTTACAATCAATACCTTTAACAAACATTAAACAAAACCAATGATACTAGGACTTTGACAGTGTATGTCATATACCATAGTACTTCACCACTCTGCTGAAAAAGTGTTTCTTAATCTGTTCCAAGATTGGGGCCATTTTATAACATTAAAAACCTCATTGACCCATTGTTGTTTGTCCTTCATTCTTGAAGAGGACCATGACATCAGGGAGGGGATGCCATGAGCTTTCCTTAAAATTATAAATAATATCTGTCTAAAACCATCAGCAAGCATTATTTGTAATGGGTATAAATCAGAAATTTTTTCAATAAGATCAGGGGCAAAGCAAGGATATCACTGTTATTCAATCTTATACTAGAAATGCTAGTTATAGCAATAAGAAAAGAAAAATAAATTGAAGGAATTAGAATAGACAATGAGGAAACAAAACTATCGGTCTTGGCAGGTGATATGATTATATACTTAGAGAATTCTAGAAAATCAACTAAAAATTAATTTAAATAATTAATAACTTCAACAAAATTGCAAGATATAAAATCATCAGCATTTATATATAACCAATTTATATATATAAATATATATATATACATATATATATTACCAACAAGGTCCAGCAAGAAGAGATAAAAAGAGAAGTTGCATTTAAAATTACTGCTTACAGTTGAAAATACTTGGGAGTCTGCCTGCCAAGACAAATCCAGGAACTATATGAACACTTTTCATACAAATAAAGTCAGATCTAAATAACTGGAGAAATAGTAATTGCTCACAAGTAGGCCACGCCAATATAATAAAAATGAAATTTCTACCTAACTTAACTTACTTATTCAGTGCCATACAACCAAACTACCAAAAAGTGTTTTATAGAGGTAGAAAATATAACAACAAAATTCATTTTGTAGAACAAAAGATCAAGAATATCAAGAGAATCAATGAAAAAAATGTGAAGGAGGGTAGCCTAGCAGTACTAGATCTCAACTGTATTACAAAGTGATAATCATCAAAATAATCTGATATTGACTAAGAAATAGAATGGTGGATCAGTGGAATAGGCTAGATATATAATACATAGAAGTAAATGACCATAGTAATGTAGTGTTTATCAAACCCCAAGATCCAAGTTTTTGGGACAAGAACTCACAATTTCACAAAAATTGCGGGGAAAACTTGAAAGTGATTTGGCCAAACATAGATATAGAACAACATCTCATACCATATACCAAGATAAAGTCAAAATGGCTACATGATTTAGACATAAAGGGTGATCTCATAAGCAAATTAAGAGACCATGGAATACTTTACCTGTTAGATTTATGGTTAAGGGAAGAATTTATGACCACATAAGAGTTAAAGAGCATTATGGGATGTAAAGTGGGTAATTTTATTGCATTATATTAAAAAGGTTTTGTGCACACACACACACACACACACATACACACACAAAGAAGAAGAATGCAACCAAGATTAGAAGGAAAGCAAGAAACTAGAGAGTTGAGCAAATTTCTCTGATAAAGGCCTCATTTCTCAAATACATGGAGAACTGAGTGAAATATCTAAGAATATGAGTCATTCCCCCAATTGATAAATCATCAAATGATATAAACAGGCAGTTTCCAGATGAAGAAATCAAAACTATCTATATTCATATACAAAATATTCTAAATTACTATTGATTAGAGAAATAGAAATTAAAACAACTCTGAGGTACCTCCTCATATCTATCAAATTGACTATTATGACAGAAAAGGAAAAGAGCAAATGTTGGAGTGAATACAGGAAAATTGAAACACTACTGCACTGTTGGTAACAGTGAACTGTTGTGAACTAATCCAACCATTCTGGAGAGCAATTTGGAACCATGCCCAAAAGGTTATAAAACCATGCATACCCTTTGACCCAGCAATACCACTTCTAGGTCTGTATCTGAAAGAGATTATACAAATGGGAAAAGGACCCATATGTACAAAAATATTTATAGTAGCTCTTTTAGTGGTGGCAAAGAACTAAAAATTGAGTGAACGTTCATCAATTGGGGAATGGTTGAACAAGTTGGGGGATGTGATTATGATGGAATATTATTATGATATAAGAAATGATGAGCATGATATTTTCAGAAAAACCTGGGAAGACATATGTGAACTAATGCAAAGAGAGGTGAGCAGAACCAGGAGAACATTGTACATAGTAACAGTAATATTAAACGATGATCAGCTGAGAATGACTTAGCAATTCTCAGCAATACAATGATCCGAGACAATTCCAAAGGACTCATGATAAAAATACTTTCCACCTCCACAGAAAGAACTGATGGAGTCTCAATGAAGGTCAAAGCTTTGTTTTCTTGCTTTCCTTTTTCTTTTTTATTTTTTTTCTTTGGGACTGTGTTTTCTTTTGTATCTTGGCTAATATGGAAATATGTTTTGCTTGACTGCACACATAATATACATGCATACATATATACGTACAAACATACAGAATCTGGAACTGGAAATTTTAAAAATAACTGTTTAAAATTGTTTTTACATGTATTTAAGGAAAAAATTGAAATAAATAAAATAAGAGAAAAACAAATGCCAGTTATTTACTAGTGGTTCTCAATTTAAAGAATCCAATAACAAAAGCTCCCAGAGAAGAATTTCCTCAATGGGTTCCTGTCAATGTAAGGGCCCAATATTTATCCCAGGCAAGGTCTCACATATAAGACCTTATAAACTCTAAGTGAGAGAGAGGTCCTTCCTTCACAGGGAGGAGCACAGCATCTCATCATCCTCACTAGCCACTAAAAGGGAAAGAGAACAAGTGGCTTCCAAGGGAGTCTTTTGTGCGTATTCTGAGTGCCACTCAACATCCATGTTCTCCCAGGACTACAGCTTCAATAGCTAGTCTCTTGTTATGGAAGGAAGGAAGGAATGAAGGAAGGAAGGAAGGAAGGAAGGAAGGAAGGAAGGAAGGAAGGAAGGAACGAAAGAAGGAAGGAAGGAAAGAAGGAAGGAAGGAAAGAAGGAAGGAAGGAAAGAAGGAAGGAAGGAAGGAAGGAAGGAAGGAAGGAAGGAAGGAAAGAAGGAAGGAAGGAAGGAAGGAAGGAAGGAAGGAAGGAAGGAAGGAAGGAAAGAAGGGGAAAGGGACAGACAGAGGGAGGGAGGAGGGAAGGAAGGGAGGTGAAAAGGAAGGGAGGAAGGGAGGAGGGAAGGAAAAATGAGGAAAGGAGAAGGGAGGAGGTATAAGAAGGAACTATGGGCAAATGATTTCAGTTCTCTCATGGAAATATGAGGTGAGGCTGTCGGCTGTGAGGTGTCCAAGAAGGGTGAGCCCTGAGAGACTTGAGGGGGGACAAAAAGGTTTGGAAAAACCATGGTAATAAGATAGTTAGTTAATTATGGAGGCACAAAAGGATTGCTCTGCCACAGTGAGGGCCCAATTGAGATGATGTTAAAAGTCTATAATGGACCCAGTAGGCACATTTTCATGATTTTCTCTAGCTTCATTCATTAGCCTAGGAGTAAGGGCAAAGGCAGTAAATGGTGAGAGTAATCTTACCCAGACTAAGACTTGGCACGGTAAAACTAGAGAAAAGACAAGGAATTTTGAATTAAACATTAACCAACAATAATTGCAAAACAGAGATCAGGAAAGTTTGTTGTTGCAATCCCTTGTACTTCAATGAACTCAAGAAATGATTACCTTAAAGGCTCAGGGGGAAAAAAAGGTTATTGAAGCAAAGGAAATAAACATTTATACAGAGCCTACTAGGTACCAGACACTGTACCAGGTATTGTACAGATATCATCTCATTGGATTCTCACAACTGCTTTGTGAAATGGGTGATGTTATCCCCATTTTACAACTGGGGAAACTGAGGTTAAGTGACTTGCCCAGAGTCACACAGCTAGTAAGTGTCTCAGATCTTCTCAACTCCAGGCCCAGCACTCTCTCCACAGCACCACCTTAGTGGCTAGTTATCTATTGAGATAATATGTCTTAAAAAGTTCTGATTTCTAAGGAGATTATCAAGTTTATAGTTCAGATCCTAGTTGGGTCAGAACTCTAACAATATAACCTCAGGGGTCCTCTTGATAGATCATTTGTATCTTGTGTTTGTTTTTCCTTTCTCTTTGTAAACATGACTGTGTAGGCTACAGTCAGTCAATTAACATTTATTAAGTATGTACCATGTGAGAAACACTGCTAAGTGCTGGGAATACAAAAAGAGGCAAAAGACAATCCCTGCACTTGAGGAGCTTACAGTCTAATGGGGGAGACAACAAGTGTGAGCAAACAAGCCATACACAGAATGAATAGAAGATAATCACAAGAGGGAAGGTACCAGAATTCAAAGGGGTTAGGGAAAGCTTCCTGTAAAAGGTGGGATCTTAGTTGGGGTTTAAAGGAAGCCAATAAGTAGTGATGGGCAGGAAGAGCATTCTAGGTATGGGGAACAGTCAGGGAAAAGGCCCAGAGACAAGAGATGGAGAGTCATTGTTTGTAGAACAGTCAAGAGGCCAGGGTCCCTATATGAGAGTACAAGGTGAAGAATTAGGTGCAAGAAGACAGGAAAGAAAGGAGGGGATTAGGTTATGAAGGGCTTTGAATCCCAAACAGAGGATTGTGCATTTGATCCTAGAGAGGATAGGAAGACACTGGAGTTTATTAAGTGGGGGAGGTGACATAATCAGACCTGCACTTTAGGAAAATGACTTGGGTGGATGCATGGAAGATAGATTGGAGCAGGGAGAGAATTGAGGCAGGTAGATCAACTAGAAGGTTATTGTAATAGTCCATGAATGAAGTGGTGAAGGCCTTTACTAGAGCGGTGGTAGTGTCTGAGAAGAGGGGCTATTCAAGGGACATTGTAAAGGTGGAATAGGCCTTGGTAAAAAATTGGATACGGGGGGGTGAAAGATAGTGGGTAGTCCAGG